CTCCTCCTCAACCTCCTCTTCCTCCTCCTCAACCTCCTCTTCCTCCTCCCCAACTTCTCTTCCTCCTCCTCAACTTCTCTTCCTCCTCCTCAACTTCTCTTCCTCCTCCTCACCACCAGGTTCGGCCGCCGGTCTCTGCTCACCTGGTGTTACCTCCAGATGGGCACCATGGGGACGTGCTCCTCCTTCGCCCCCACATTCACCATCTACTGCCTCTTCCGTTTCCTCACGGGCATGGCCTTCTCCGGCATCGTCCTCAACAGCGTCTCCCTCTGTACGTGGCCACCACCAGCCCCCATGGGACCAGCTCTGGGCACCATCTTGGTTTGCTCCACGTCTTTGTGTGTCTCAGCAGCTTTGGAGTGGATGCCCACTCGTACCCGGGCGCTGGTGGGGACCTTCATGGGTTACTGCTACACCACCGGGCAGTTCCTCCTGGCTGGGATCGCCTACGCCGTCCCCGACTGGCGTTGGCTGCAGCTCACCGTGTCACTGCCCTTCTTCTGCTTCTTCATCTACTCCTGGTGAGGAGAAGAATGGAGCCATGGATGGAGGGATGGTGGGATAGAGGGATGGATAGATGGAGGTGTGGATGGATGGTGGGATGGATGGGTGGATGGATGGACATATGGAGGTGTGGATGGATGGTGGGATGGATGGGTGGATGGATGGATGGACATTTGGAGGTGTGAATGGATGGAGGGATGGATGGATGGACATTTGGAGGTGTGAATGGATGGAGCGATGGATGGATGGACATTTGGAGGTGTGGATGGATGGAGGGATGGATGGACATTTGGAGGTGTGGATGGATGGAGGGATGGATGGATGGACATTTGGAGGTGTGGATGGATGGAGGGATGGATGGAAGGATGGTAAGATGGATGGATGGACATATGGACATGTGGATGGATGGACATTTGGAGGTGTGGATGGATGGAGGGATGGATGGAAGGATGGTGAGCTGGATGGATGGACATATGGACATGTGGATGGATGGACATTTGGAGGTGTGGATGGATGGAGGGATGGAAGGACGGATGGTGAGATGGATGGATGGACATGTGGAGGTGTGGATGGATGGAGGGATGGATGGTGGGATGGTGAGATAGATGGATGGACATATGAAGGTGTGGATGGATGGTGGGATGGATGGATGGAGAGTTGCATGGATGGGTGGGTAGAAGGAAAGGTGGCTACAAAGATTGATGAAGAGAAGGTAACATGATGGATGGAGAGTTGGGTGGATGGGTGGAAGCATGGCAAGATGGCTGGAAGGACAGAGGGGTAGATCACCGGTGGCAAGGTCAGATGGATGGTGGGATGATCCTTGGGGTCCTGTCCCCATCTCCTCCACAGGTGGTTAACAGAGTCAGCTCGTTGGTTGGTCATGGTGGGGAAGCCCCACCAAGCCCTGAAGGAGCTCCAGAAAGTGGCCAGGATAAATGGGAAGAAAGAGGAAGGGGACAAGCTCGACATAGAAGTAAAAGGCTCTGGCCGGGTCTCCTGGGGCATCTCTGGGTGGGGGGAAGTGACCCCCACTCTCCTGGCCCTCATGGAGAAGGTCAACAGTGGGGTTCCCCTACACCCACCTTCCCAACCCCCTAGACAACCATCCATCCCTGTAGACAACTGTCCATCCATCGCCATCTGCATCCATCCATCTCCTCATAGAACCACCCATCTCCATCCTCACCATCTCCATCCTCTCCATCATCTCCATCCTCTCCATCTTCTCCATCTCCATCCTCTCCATCCTCACCATCTCCATCCTCTCCACCTCCA